GTGAGGGCCATGGGGCATCGCTGGCTGAGGAGGGCTGGACCAGGGGTCAGGGCACAGCAGAGAGGAAATGGGATGAGGGTCTTCTTGCTCTTAGGATGGGAAGTGACCCCAGGAATGAAGGGCTGGACTTGCAGGCCTTGGGCCAGGCTCTATCCAGGCCAAGTACTTCTGGGCTCTTGCTTAGCCCAGCCTCGCTCATCAGTAGCCTGAGGGTTCATGGAGGATTCCTTCACCGATGAGAAGCAAGATGCTGGCGGTCCTCAAGGAAGTTTCTTAAGGACAGGGTCTTCTGTTCTGTCCCTGGAGTCCAGAACAGCAATGTCTGGTGCATGGAAATAACATTGTTTAGTGAGGATGAATGGAGGGGCCCCCTCTGCCAACAGTGGTTTGTCTCTGTCCCTCTCCTGCACCTGTGACCTGTCACTTAGGTCTGAAATCTGAGACATCTGCATAGATGCTTTAAACACCTGCTGAGCTCCTCTGGGCCCTGGATACCCAGGCTCCACCCTCACCCAGCACCATGCAAGTGCCCCTGGGAGCCGTTGGGAACCATTGGTTGGCAAGCCATCTCTGAGGAAGCGTTATAGATAGGAATGGGGCCTAGTGGCTTCTGCCTGTAATCCTAGCTACTTCGGACATGTAGATTGGGTAGTCTGTAGTTCAACTCAGGCCAACCCTGGGCAGAACGTTAGCAAGACTCCATCTCCACCAGCAAGGTCAGTGGGGTAGCCTATGCCTGTCAGCCCTGCTACAGTGGAGACAGACACACTGAGGGTGTGGCTCATGGTAACACACCATAAGTTCAAATCTCCTATTGACAAAAATAGGGCGGGGCACTGGAGGCTCACACCTGTAATCCTAGCTATTCAGGAGGCTGAGCTATGAGGATCACTGTTTGAAGTCAGCCAGGGAAGAAAAGTCCCCTTGAGAATCTTCTCGCCAATTAACCACTCAAAACCCAGAAGTGGCACTGTGGCTCAAAGTGGTAGAGTGCTAGTCTTGAGCAAAAGAGCTCAGGGATAATGCCCAGGCCCTGAGTTTAAGCCCACAACCAAAAGAAAAAAGGGTTGATATTACAAGGGTAGAGGAATGGAGGATGTTCAGTACATAGGAATATGGCAAAGCTAAAACTATGGGGCCAGAATAACAGATACAGAAGAAGGAATAAGTAAAACAGCACGGCCAAATGCTGGCCACACAGAATTTGGGTTTTGCATTTGAGAAATATTAGAGGTACTGAGAAAGTAGAAGTTCGCGGAGATGGATTAGTAATGTCTGCATTGGCACAGGCCTTGACAGTACCTCACTGAGATCCATTAGTGATGTCTGCATGGGGGAGGCCTAGTGACTAGTGTTCTGAGCTTGCTCTCCCTCACCTAGCCCATGGCACGATGTACTTGGAGGAAAAGGCATCTTTTTTCCATCCTCAACTAGTCCTTGCTCCCTCTTTCTAACAGCTGCAGATGATCGTGATGGGCAACAATCTGGGGATCCCCAAGCCCTTTGGGCCCCAAATCAAGGGTATCTGCTGCCTGGAAGAAAAGGTCTGCCACTTGCTAGAGCCCCTGGGCCTCCAGTGCACCTTCATCGATGACTTTGACTGCTACCTAACTGACGTCGGAGACTTCTGCTCCTGTGCCAACATCCGCCGGGTGCCCTTTGCCTTCAAGTGGTGGAAGGTGATGCCTTAGCCCCAGGCCTTCCTTGGACCTGAGGCCCTGCTGCACAATGAAGGGCCTGACCCCAGCTGCAGGCTTCCTGGCCCAGTGGGGACCCTGGAGAGTCAAGGCCAAAACACCCCCCTTCCTGCCTGGTTTACCCCTGTCCTTGAGATCCAGTAGAGTGGCCATTACCATAAGCATGAACCCCCTGGAGGGCAAAGGGGAGCTAAAGAGGAATAAAGCTCCAGCCTTTCTGAAAGCATTTTGTGGCAACCTCCTTGCTCCAGAGGAGGGCTGAGTGACTGGGGGCAAAGGGCCCCTGCTCCTGATTGGTGGAATGGCAGGGAGGGGGTGGTGGTGAAGAGCACGGCTACATCCCTAGCTCTCCTCTTCTACAGTGGGAAGTAGCAGGATTGCTGCCTCCCAGTTCGAGCACTCAGCCATGCTGGGTCCAGGCTCCAGGCTGGTATAGAGGTTCCCCGTGGGGCCTGGAGATGAGGGGCTGCAGTTCCCATCCCATGTGAGCAGCTGGCCTCAGCAGGTAGAGAACGTAGTCTCCTTAGAGGGACAAGGTAAAGCTAGTCAGGCCTGGGCTGGCCTTTGCTTGGCCCACAGTGTGGCGCTCCAGAAGTGACAGCCAGTGTCCAGTGCCAGGACGGAATGGGGGGGGGAGATGAGATGTTGGCCCTGAGTTCCTGCTCTGCAACTCGAGGATGCCCTCGAGCCTGTGGCAGGCCTGTGCTGGCGTCAAGGGTGGCAGGCAGGGTTTGGCTGTCCTTTGCTGCTGCTATGAGAGAGGTAATGGTTCCCCCCTCCCCCCTTTCTGGGCTGTCGCCAATTACCCCGCAGGCAGTTCTGCAAGGACTCACTGCCCCGAGTTCCCTTGAGTTTCAAGGCCTCGGAGTGCAGGCTGCCCCTGCCACATGGTGCAGGCCTGCAGAACAGGACCTCAGGTTTGGCCAGAGGCTGTGTGGCATACAGGCTCAGGCCCAGGCCAGCTGTCACTTCAATGCCTCTATCAAACTAGCGGGACTGAGATGGCTGGGCCTGGGACCACTCCCTACGATCCTTTGGACTGGCCTTTGTTTGCTCAGGCATCTCAGGTTGACTCTGTCCTCCTCGCCATTCAACAGTTTCACACAAGACCTGAACAGGGGCTGGGAAGGTGGCTCAGTGGTAGAGCGCTTGCCTTGCATGCATGGGGCCCTAGGTTCGATTCCTCAGCACCACATAAGCAGAAAAAAAGCCAGAAATGGTGCTGTGGCTCAAGTGGTAGAAAAAGAACTGAACAGGCCTAGCCTTTCACTACTCTCAGGCCTGTGGTCTTGGCCTATTAGCAAACACCCAGGGCAGCTGGTTGGAGTCTTCATGGCCTGCACAGTTATGGGTGCTGTTAACTGGACACCAACAACCATACACGTGGATCTCCTGCTCCTGTTGACAACTCAGCCACCCCAGGCTCAGTCTGCGGGTGAGGGCTCCAGGAAGCCAGCCCTGCCCACTTGTGTACCCCCTACCTGCCAAGGCCAGGGACCCCTCTGCACCCTGCCCATCCTGAGTGAAGAGCTGTCCACTGTACCTGGCACATGAGGGCTCTGGATTTTTTTTTTGGGGGGGGGGGGTCTGGTGGTGGGGCCTGAACTCTGGGCCTGGGTGCTGTCCCTCAGCTCTTCAGCTCAAGGCTAGCACTCTACCGCTTGAGCCACAGCGCCACTTCCGGCTTTTTTCTTTTTGCTTATGTGGTGCTGAGGAATCGAACCCAGGGCCTCATGCATGCAAGGCAAGCGCTCTACCACTGAGCCACCTTCCTAGCCCCTCTGGATGTTTTTACTCCAGCCACTGACAAGGCCTGGGCAGGCCCGCCCAGCGGTTCTTATTCCAAAAGCTGGAGACAGCACCTCTGGGGCAGAAAAGCATTGCTGACTCCTGATGCACCCACCTGTCTCCCTGGCCCTCTGTGGGGACACCTGGGGATGGAGAAAGGGGGCATATGGGCGCAACTGGGACTCAGACCCCCAACCCCCCCCATACACACCCATGAAAATGTCAGCATGCATGCCACGCCCCCTTCCCAGTGCCTCCAGGAGCACAGGCCAGGCTGCAAAGGCCAAATTTGCACCCCCAAGTGCCAAGTGCACACCGGCTGTCCTGTCTGCTGACAGCAAGCACATCCAAGTCCTCACGGTCCCAAGGTGGGGGGTGGGGCGGGGTAGCTTCATGGGGGCCTGGGACAGGGCAAGACTGCTGGCCTGCCAACCCCTCTTCTGGGGCCAGAGGAGCCGCTGACAGGCACTGGCCAACTCTGCTGGCCACACATAATGTACAGCAGGGCACTGCCAAGAGCTGCCAGCATTGCCTGCTGGACCAGGCCCAGGCAGGCAGCTCTTGAAGGCAGAGGGAGAGGCTCTGGGTCTCCACAGAGCTGCAGGCAGCTCCTACAGAGAGGGGCCCAAGGCGGCACCTGCCCCATCCCAGAAGGGGTGGGCTCCCTGCATGCTGGCTGGGTGCTTGAGCCAGGGGGTGGCTGAGCTTTTCAGCAGGAGCTCCAAGCTCCAGGGTCACTGCAGCCAGGGCTGGTTCTGGTCTACATCCTCTCAGAACGGCACAACCTCAGGACTGCTGATGTATAAGAAAGCATTGGCCTGAGGGCCCAGCAGTCCCCATGACAGATCCCAGGACCTGGCTCCAAGCCGAGGATTGCTTCCTTTTCCAGGCTGGCTAGGTGTTAGCTCTCAGCACCAACCTGGTCTCTTGGCGCCCCCTGGCGAGAAGCTGGTCACACAGAAGCTGCAGCCTGGGATAGATGCTCCTGGCTGAGTTTGGGGGTGTCTTTAACACTGCAGGCTCACGGCATTCATAACCACTCATGGGGCTCAGGGTGTGGCTGTCATCAATCCCCTACCATACATAAGACCCAGTACCATAAAAAACCAGTTTACACCACCACCATTACACATAACACCCTCAGCAGCCCACCTCCAGGGGGCCTGGAACTGTCATGAGCCACACCCACTCTGCAGAAGGCCCAGAGACCATGAGCATGCTTCTGTGCGTGGCTGTGCCCGCCACACTCTAGGCCTCGGTGACCCAACGGGCAGGTGGCACCCACCTCCAGAATGAGTTCAGACCCGCAACTCAAGGGGCCACCAAGGAACTGACTCCATCTCCTTACCCCCTCTCAGGCCAAGGGTTTCAAGGGGCGGAGTTGGGGGCCAAAGCTCCCTGAGGGCTTTCCCACACTCCCTGCTGTGGGTGCTGCGTCTTATGGGGCAGGCTGAGAGAAACGGGGCTGCCATACAGGCTTGTGTTTTTCTGACTGAAAAGAAATACCAAAGCCCAAACAATGATGCAGTTTATTTAAAATGTTTACTCCAAGAAATATATATATAAAAAAAAATAAGACAATTAACAACACTAAACCAGGCACCTTCAGCCAAATCCCAGGGCCCTTTTCATTCCCCTTCACCCTCTGCTCTTCCCAAGACCCTCCTTTCCAGACCCAGAGAGCACATTCCCAGTGGGTCCTCTGGGGGTGTGGGAACCCCAACTCCTATTCTCAAGCATTTTCTCCACGTGGAAATCATGTTATATCTCTATGCCTGGGGGTGGGGTACAGAGGAGGGCGCAGGACCCGCCAGTGACGGCTGGACTGTTGGATTCAGTTGTGTCCCCCAGACCCGAGCCCCCTCAGCCCAGGGCAGCTCCTGGGCTGTGACCCGAGCTGGAGGTGACCTGCAGGGTGCAGCTGCTGCGTGGGGAGAGCCCGGGTCCTGCACACTTGAGGCTCAAGTGGGGTGGGGGCAGCCTGGACAGAGGTCAGTTTGACAGAAGCTGAGCTGCGGAAGCCCACGTCCTGTGCTGTCCACGCCCTGTGCTGTCCACGCCCTGTGCTGTCCACGCCCTGTGCTGTCCACGCCCCGTGCTGTCCACGCCCCGTGCTGTCCACGCCCCGTGCTGCTAGCAGGGCAGGTGGAGCAGGGACAGGCGTGAATGTAAGCCTCACACCCCATCTAAGACAGGAGGCCATGGGACTGGCGGTACTGTCACACGCCCAGCAGGACAAAAGCCACTATGGAGTGATGGGCAGGAGGGCAGGAGAAAAGCAATCCACCAGACAGATCATTTTTGGCATTTTAACTTCGCGACAATGACAAGTGGAAACAACAGCAAAGCAAAAACAAATGCTGAAAACCAGTATGTCATGTTCCCATCCCCCCAGTCTCACACTAGGCCCTGCCTTCCCCCACCCCCGGCCCCAGAAGCACCACGGCACTAAAATCTACTTAAAGCACCCAAACCAGTCCAGAGCCCTGGGAACCGAGAGCCCAGCCGCGCTGCCGCCTTGCTCGGGTTCTGGGGAAGGCACCTCGTCACTCACGCCACACCGTCTGGGGGCCCGGCTTGGGCAGGACACGGGTCAGGGATGCGGGCGGCAGTCTCAGCCACAGAGCAGGGCACTTCTTCTGGAGCCCCAAACATGGAGAGCGCAGGGCGGGGGTCCCAGGCAGGCTGCACCGGAGGCAGTGGGGACAGAGGCAACAGGCTGGTCTGCGTCAGGCGGCCGGAGCACTGGCAGCTGGCTGGTCCATCTCTAAGGAGCTCCCGCTGGTGGCCAGGCAGGGACTTGACAGATAGCCACAAAGCCAGAAAGCCAGAGCCCCCTTCCCAGATACAAATGTTCCCCACCGCTGCCCCCACCTCCCCCGATCGCCTGATTCTCATCTGGACTTATCTTACAGCTGAAGTTGATAAAAATGGTCACAAACGAACCTCAGCGCCCCCACCAGGGGGGACAGGACAGGGCTGACTTTGAGACCAGAGGCGGTGGGGTGCACAAGCAGCCAGGAAAGGAGGCTGGGACAGCGCTGGCGGGTCCGGGCTGAGGGAGAGCAGGCAGGAGACCCGGGTGCTCCACAGCACGCAGGTGGCTGCGGAGGGGACCGGCCACCAGGGCCAGCCTCTCCTGTCCTGCGTGGCCCCCTCAGATCACAATGCTACTTACAGCTGGAATGGGAGGTGGGGGCGAGCAGATTTAGGTGAGGGAGAAAAGAAATGCCACTTAAAAAACTTCAACTGCTCAAAGTCTCTGCCTCGTATGTAGGAATGGTAAGTCAACTATGAGCAAATATTTTAATTAAACATTGAGGGGGGAAAAACCACTTTGGAAAGCATACAGAAAAAGGTAGTTGACGTTGAATCTCGTAGAAAACAGAACCTTGGGGAGTCTTAACAAAATGCACCTTCGGTCAACGTCTGCTTCCTAAACTCGGTTGGACTTCCGGTCCCAGTGCACTTGGAATGAGCTGCCGCGAGGGGGCGCCCTCAGAGGGTGCGCGGGTTGTACTCCGGCAGCCTCTTGAGCTTCTCCTTCTCTGTCTCACTCTCGTCCCGTGCGATCACCAAGGAGTGCGAGTAGCCCATGGCCACCTGTGAGGACACAGCGGGTCACAGAGTGTGCAGGAAGCACTCGGGTCCCCCAGTACGGCAGAGGACCCCTGGGGACGCCTTGCTGGCGTCAACTGATCGGAACCCCTCCAGCCAGAAATGGGGACCTGCGGCTGACCCACCCGGCCCAGGCCCACCCAGCAGTGCGCTTCCTGGGGTCAGTGCAAGGCAAGGCCAGGGCAGGGACAGCTCTCCCGCCAATGGCTGAAGCCAGCACCTGCTAGCATGGGGACAGGACAGCGGGTCAGGAGAGGGCACACAACAGGACGCTCACGACCAGTCACCTGCTCTGAGAAGATGCCGTCCAGAGTCTTCACCTCCTGGGCTGCCGTGGAAGACTTGGGCTTATGGTCCCCGTAGCCCTGGTAAGGCAAGCGGAGGGGTGCTCACAAAACTGCACAGTCCCAAAGGCTACTGTGCCGTTCCCAGGCATCCCACCAGGCGGGAGCCCGAGAGCGCACGGGTCCCCCAGCATGTGCCCCCAGCACAGGCTCTCCACCTCAGGAAACCGAGGGGCAGTCACGTGACGGTAGGACACCAGTGGTCTACATCCAGAGGTCTCTACTTCCAGATGCTGCCCAGGAAGCCCAGCACTTCCCTCCAGCTTCAAAGTTCATATTTGTAACAGGGAAAATTGTATTTCAAGCCCATCCACCCTTCTGAGACGCCAAAGGAACTAGGCTAGGCTCCTAGTCTCTCCCTGCTTTCGGGGTTTCCAACTGAGCCATCTCATAAGGGACAAGTGACAGACACAGGGCAGCTGGGAAGGACCACACGGACCAGCAACCTCAGTGATGCGTCAGGGGCCAGGCTAAGCCCTCTCCTTGCCTCCCTCAGAGCGGGAAGCAGCCAATCAACAGTCAAACTGCCAGGATGAGATGAAGCTAAGCCTGTGCCCACAGCAGGCAGACATGGGGCTGGGGGCGGGGGGTGTGAGGAACTCAGCTCTCCACTGAGCACTAGGAGGGAAATAAAGATGTGGCTGGGGACAAGCAAGCAAGGGCCACTGGTTCTAACTGCATGAAATTGTGAGTTTACAACTAGAAAAACAGGCCGGGTGCAGTACCTCACGCTCGTAATCCCAGCTCTTTGTTGTGGGTGACCCCCCGCCCCCCCCCATCGCACAGCCTCACAGATCCCCAGTGGGAAGGCACCGGCACAGCACAGTGGACAGTGAAGACTGTCTTCGTCAGCTCTGGCCCTGAGACCTAAGGGACCCCAGGCCCACAGAACGGAGCCCACCACCCTCTTTCTTCTTCCCTGTTTCAGAGGTCAGAGGCTGGCCTGGCCTCCAGCCAGTGGGCTCTGGCTCACCAGTTCCCCGAAGGTCGGTGATGGACCCCAGCTGATGGTGCTCTCGTCTGCTGCCACGATGATGCTGCTCTTCCTGCAATGGGAAGAGCATGTCACCCCTCCCAGCCTGGGAGGACCTTCAGCATCAGAGGCTGGACTAAGGGCATGTTCATCCGACAACACAACCCCCCCACAGGGGCCGGGGCTCGGAGACCTCCTTGACCAAGCCCCCAGAGTGAGGTCTAACGGGAAGGGAGGAGGCCACAGAGGGACAAGGAGATGGCTCATGATTCCCAGGGGGTACAGAGTAGAGCCACCCCGGATCCCCCCCGCCCCATACTGTAATAACCACCACCAGATGACCACACTCCTGCCCCAGCAGGTGCTGGCCAAGAAGCTGCTCCTCCCACCACACCCACCGTCCCACAACACCCTTAAGCGCAGACCTGGTGCAGCACAGAGCAGGAGGGAGGGAGGGAAGGAAGGAACGGAGACGGAGGAGGGAGGGGCCTTGCCGCCTACCCGCAGGCCAGGCTCCGGATCCTCCAGCCGCAGAGGTCCTGGACTGCTTTCGGGTACATGGTGGACTCCCGGGAGGTGTTGGTGGCCCCCCAGAAAAACAGCCCGCCTGGAGGACACAAGCACAGCGAGCCAGGGGTCAGCCTCTGGATGGGCAGTGGTCTGCGGAGGAGGAAGGCCAAACGGGGGCTCTGCATAGGGGGCACTGACCCACTTCGCTGACGGCAAACGAGCAGGTGTAGCCGGCGTAGATCTGGCACGCCCCTCTCCCGGGGAAGTCGAACAACTTCACCAGGCGAGGCACCATCTCGTCCTTCTGCTCCGCGTGGCCCAGCCGGCCATAGCCACCGAAGCCCCAGGAGAAGACGCGCTTCTGCGAGTCCAGTACCAGCTGTGGGGAGAGACACAGGCTGGCGCCCACAGCTCCCACCGGGGAGGGACTGGGGGCAGAGGAACCCATGCCTGCGTGGGGTAGGGGCGGATGGGCAAGGTGGGGCTAGTTTGCCCTCGGCACTGCCCGCACGGCAGGAGAGTGGAAGGCCCTGCCTGCCCACGGGTGCAGGGGGTGAGCCAGGCAGCCCTGCCCGCGGTCCCGTCTCTCCCTTGGTGTCTTTGGTGTGGAGCAGATGAGGGGAGGGCCAGGGTGCGGCTCAGTGTGGGGCACACATGGGTCCCACCTGTGCTACAGAGAAGATATTGAAAAGACATGGGACCCCAGCGGAGGTAATGGCCTTCCCGGCTCCGGACTGGCAGGAACTGAGCTCCTGGCCCCGGGCACTGGGGCCATGGCCCCAGAGAGGAGAGGCTGAGCTAGGGGCCTGTGGGCTTGGTCTGCATGACATCGCTCCAGCAGAGACAGGAAAGACTGACCACAGCTCTCCTAGGATGACCCTTCAGGAAACCACTCCACACTGAGTGCAAGACAGACACCGCTGTTGCCATGTTGCCAGCCAGAGGCAGGAAGCTGCCTGCCGTCAGGGCTGGGGCAGCGTGGACGTCACGGAGGAAGGTGCTGGCACGGGAGGGAGCCGCAGGGGCTCTGGCCAAGCCCAGCTGAGCGGTAGGAAGCTGAGGCACGTGGGGTGCCCACGCAGGAGTAGACCCCAGCCGAGCCGTGGTGGGGTGCTGCAGCATCAACAGCAAGGAAGGGGAACCTCACCGTGTGGTTGGCGCCGCAGGCCACGTCCCGCACCACCACGTTGGGGACGGGCAGGATCTGCCCGTCCTTCGTCTTCTCGATGAAGATGGCCACCCGCCGGGGCACCAGCTCGCAGTCATACTCTATCCGCTGCGCCCGGGCGATAAACTTCCCGTCCGAGTTGTGTCCTGCGGAGCGGATCTGGCGTCAGTGGCAGCCCGGGCTCCCCACTGCGTCAGCCGCCCCAGCTCCCGCCTGAGCCCAGCTGCCCAGTGGCCCTGACATGAATGCATGGGGGAAACCCTGTCATTCTGTTAAAAAATGAACTCAACGGAGTAAAAGCATCCAAGAAAGAGCCGCCGGGTGTGGTGGTGCACACTTGCTGTCCGGCTGAGGGAGCACTGTCCGGGGGCGGCCTGGGACACACAGCAATGCTGTGTCTCAAACTAACAAAACCACATCTTCAAGGATCCCCACACACCAGTGTCCACTGGTGACACCCCCGTGCACAACTGCATCTAACTTAGAGAGGGAGACAGTGTGGACTCGTGTCTCACTGTGACTGCACTTGCACTAACCAAAGCACGGAACACAGGACACACCCAGCACACACAGGCTGTGCCCACCTGGGTGCTCACAGAGCCCGAGGGCCAAGGGGAGACCCAACTACAACACACAATCCAGATGTTTCTATGAATGATCAGAAACCGGCAGGCACTGTGTCAAGGGCCACACAGAAGGACCCGGGCTGTCCAGTCCTGGAGGTGGACTGGCACACGCATGCTCCGGCAGCTGCCGCCCCGTGTGCCGTACAGTGAGTGACCAGTGGTCTGACCCTGGGCTTGTGCGCTGCCCAGCATGCTGGCTGCAACTCTGCCAGGCCAAGTAGCCTGGACACTTGCCCACACGCCGAGCCTCCCCAAGTGTGGGCACACTACTTGTGCACACAAGCCGACCACAGCGGGGTTCCGGGCTTGGCTGGAGCTGCTGAGTCTCAGGAGCAGCTCACGTGGCACCAGCTCAAGACTGCCACACGTGCTTCCCTCCCACGTCCACCCACCTGCCACTTACAAGTCTGAGGGCTGCAAGTGCCCCGTCTCTTCAGGGCTACAAGGAAATGGTGCACACTTCAGAATATGAGAGCTGTTACTCATGAACTAAATGAATGGGTAAACAGAGGCATATTAAACTCTTCTGCTGACAAGGTTTCTGTGAGCGGAGGATACTGGGTCCCTCCATCCCAGAACGGGACGTGGTGCCTCAGTCTCCAGAGGGCGGTAGGCGTGTACATGTTGGCGGTCATCTTTCCTCCCATCTCCTTTACAGCTTTTCCCGGAGTATGGGGCAACAACTGCTCTGGCTCCTCGGGAGAGCAAGAAACTCCGACAGCCTGTTCACATCACTGGCCTGATAGAGCAAGTTCATGCAGCAGAGTGGCAGAGGGCAATGCTGGCCTTCTAAGCCATTGTGGTCCTTCTAGGGACCTGTTAGGAGTTCACAGGTAGCCTGATCAGATGGTCGTCTATCACTTGAGCCACACCTCTAGCCTACCTTTTCTGGTTATTTTGGGGACCAAGTATCTTGGACTTTTCTGCCCAGGTTGCTTCTAATTTCTCTACCATCAATAGGATCTCAACCCAGCCCCCCCCCCCCCGCTTTCCCCTCTACACTCCCCCCCATCCATTGCCACCCCAGTAGCTAGGATTGTAAGCAAGAGCCACCAGCACCCAGCTGGAAGCCTGTTTTTAAGTAAGCTGTGAGTGAAGAGTAAGATTCCATTGATGAAACCAAGCCAGCTTCCCGAACAAGCCTCCAAGATACAAACTGAGCAAAGCTGTGCACGGTGCTCCACTGGTGACTGGCAGACCAGGACCGGCTCTGCAAGCATCAGAGCCCTGCCTGCCCAGCACCCTCTTCTTGAAGCAGCGTGTGCTTGCTTGCTAAGGAAGCTGCTGGTGTGGCTCCCAGGGAGGCAGAAGGCAACAGGGAGCTGTACCCACAGCAAAAAGCAGACATGCACTTACAGGGCCTGGGAAGGGGTCCCGAGCACCACCCGAGGGCCATGGCCAAGGAAACCCATGTTACCCTACAGTCCGCAGCTCCCGACATCCAGCATGGATGTGCGTAAGGCCTTGTTCTTTCTTATTCATTTCTGACTTGAGGTATATTTAGTTTCACAAAGTCACTGTTCTTGAAGTCTAAGGCCGGTGCGCTGCTCGGCCTTCTATTTATACTTTGCCATCTGCGCACTTCTAATGACGCAGGGACCCAGCAACCCAGATCCCGGGGGCCGAGCACGAGGCAGCAGCCGGCAGGGGGCGCCCACGCCTCAACCTCCTGCTCAGGAGGAGACTTGTCCCTTGTGTGAGGGGGGAGGAAAGAAAATGGAGGCCTTTGCAAGTTCGGATGGGAAGGCATTTCCCACTCTGTGAGTTCCTCTTTTCTGCTGTGAGACCACAGGCTGACACTCTGGAGAGTCCACAGCAGCAGGGGAAGAAGGGGACCACCACGCCTCTTCCCGGGACACCCTCAGCCCCAGTGGGCTCTCAACTACGGGCCCAGGCCAGGATTTCAGCCTTCATCCTGCGGTGTTTTCTTTCAACAAAGGCAAATTTGCACAACTGAATCTAGATATGGGTGGTGGTGCTATTTTTCTTTTTCCTCTCTGAAACCCTTACATAAATGCATTTCCAAACAAGAGAAAGGACTCTTTTGTCAGACTCCAGCCCTCTCTCAAGGAGAGAGCACTGTGCCCAGCTGGTGACGAATGCGGTTCTGCTAACTGTGAGACCCACTAATGGACAAAGGCCATTATCTGAGATCCATTACCCGCATTCCTAACACACGTGTGCAGCCCGACACTGCTAAACATACGGTTAAGGTTACAGAGCTGTTAAAGGCGTTTCCATACCCAGCTGGCCAAACTCAGGGCACCCGAAGGAATAGAGATTTCCTTTGCAGTCCATTATCATACTGAATTCAGCCCCACAGGCCATCTTGGTAATTGGCTGGCCGTTGTACATTATCTGAAAAGAAGAGACAGCAGAGTTTCAGACATTCTTTAAAAGACTGATAAAGAGTCTCCCTGTCCCCCTGTGATGGCACGCAGCAATTACGAGGTTACAGAGAATTGACGGACATGGACAACATAGAACTCAAAGAGACTTCCAGGCAGAGCAGAGGTCTGAGAAAAAGCCAACACCTGTTCTGGGGTTCTGGACCCTAAGGAACCCACTAGCAGGCCCCACACATCCTGGTGTCCACAGCTGGAACATGAGCTGGGAAGGACATTCACTCCAAAACTGGCGCCCAGGTAGTGGGCCTGCCCAGCAGCTGGGACAGGCCACTTCTCGTACAATGACAGCCACTTGGCATAGGGCATTAACTGATAGCGTGAACGGGGAATAAAGCATGAAGGGATTGAAAATAGGGAAACTGGAGGGCTGGGAAGGTGGCTCAGTGGTAGAGTGCTTGCCTTGCATGCCTGAGCCCCTGGGTTCGATTCCTCAGCACCACATAAGCAAAAAGGAAAAAAAAAAGCTGGAAGTGGCGCTGTGGCTCAAGTGGTAGAGTGCTAGTCTTGAGCTGAAGAGCTGAGGGACAGCGCCCAGGCCCAGAGTTCAGGCCCCACGACCGGACCCAAAACGAAAATAGGGAAACTGGAGAAAGAAGGCAAGCAAAGGATGCACAAAACAGTAAGGACCTGGAAAAGCCCCCAGGGGACTGGAGGATGGAGGGACAGAACTGCTGGGGCAGGTGAGCTAGACGATCCAGGTAGAGGAGCAAGCCCCCTGCCTGACAGCACATGGCCACCATGCAGGGGCACTGCCAATCTTCCAGCCCCAGAAAGAAATCCCAGGCCCTCTCCCTTGCCTAAGCCAGGAGTCAGCATTTGTCTTCCTGCCACCCAGCACCAGGAGTGCACTAATCAGGGACAACCCCTTCCCAACTAATCACAAGTTCCTGAGACTGTTACCCAAAGATGCTTCTAACGTTCCAAGCATCTGACAGATGGCTGTGAACACTAGGTGTGTGCAGAACTTTACACCCTCCGACACACACTTTCTTTGGACTAGGACAGACTTCTGCACACTTTTGTCCGTCATGGGGCTTGAACTCTGGTCCTGGGCGCCGTATCTATAATTTTATTTTTGCTCAAGGAGAGCACTCTCCCACTTGAGTCACACACCACGTCTGATTTTCTGGTGGTTTACTGGAGATAAAGCATCTCACAGACTTTCCTGCTCCGGCTGGCTTTGAACCACGATCCTCAGCTCTTAGCCTCCTGAGTAGCTAGGATTATAGGTGTGCACCCAGCTTGCACACACTTTTCCTTTGAAGGGAACCACATGTCTGTCGGCCTGACCACAGTACGCGTGATGATGTTACCTGTGCAGGACTGGGGACGGCGTCTGTCTGGTTGCCGAGGCCCAGCTGCCCCATCTTGTTCTCCCCAAAAGCAAACACGGAGCCCGTTTCTGGAAGGAGAGGAAAGTGTTACAGAAGGGAAAGGAATGTCGCGGCGCCCAAATCAGAGGAAAGCACATTGCAGAAGGGCGAGGTGGCGATGTGGTTTGAGCACTAGCGGCTATTCAAGGCCCTAGGGAGCCTTCTTGGGGGCCCCTCACCACCCTCAAGAAGCCACCAAGCTGCCCAGGGGCACCCTGACGGGGGCCACTCCGGGGCTCTGCCCCCCCCCCCCAGCTGGGATCCGTGCCTCCTTACCAGTCAGTGCCAAGGTGTGGTTGCGCCCACACGCCGCCAGCACAATCACCTCCTGGCTGAGGGCCTCGATGAGTCTGGGAGCTTCCACCCTCTTGGTGTCGCCGTGGCCCAGCTGCCCCTTCTCATTGCGACCTGCAAGCCACGAGGGGCCGAGGGGCCGCTCAAGAGGCGCCGCTCACAAGTGTTCTCAGAGAGACCCACCTGTGTTCCCAGTGTGCAGCCTCCAAACCCCAGGAGGCCAGCTCCTGCCAGCCCCCTCCCCGGCATCCTCTGCAGCGGTGGGAAACCAAGAGCACTCCAACCCGTGCAACGACCGGAACCCTAAGAAACACGCCTGTGTGGCCGGTACTGGCTCCAGCGCCTGCCAGCGTGGTCCCTGCGGCTCCTCTTCTCCAGGGGGTGACTGGTGGCCACCCACCCCACATTTCACCCACCAGACCTTGAGTGCCCCCCCCCCCGCCTCCGCCATCCTTCCTCCTATCTGCCACTCCTAACTGCCAACACAACCAAGCCCCGTGACCCTGCCTGGATGTCCCCAGCCCTGAGCTGAGCCGTGGCGGCAGCCCGGCCCCACAGAGGCTCGAGGATGGACCCAGGGGACCAGGATGTGCCAAGACCTCGGCGATACCAGGGCCTCTGGGAAAACCAAAATCTGCTCAAGACAGGTTGGGCTACAAGGATCTGGACACTGCCTCCCCATGCCCTCCCAGAGAACACACATGCAAGCCACCCTGGAGGACCCATGGAACTTTCCAGAGCGCCTCTGTGCCTGGGGCGGGGGCACTCTCTCTGCCACAGGAGAAACCTTGAGAACAGTCACCAGGCTGAACACCAGTTGGAGGTGAGTGGGCAACTGACACAGGAAGCTCACTCAGGGGTGGTGTGTAGACTGGGAGCAGGCCCCAGGGCCAGCGCTAGCTGCCCATGTTCTGGGAAAGGCACAGCATGCAGAACACAAGGCACCCGTCACCCTGTTGGCTCAGCAACAGGGGTGGCAAGGCCCAAGAGGCATTCCCCTCTCTCCTGCTCGTGCTCAGGTATTCCAGAGCCCCACCCGTGGACCATGACACGCGCCTGGACCCAAAACACCGCAGGGACCCCTGCCACAGAGCAGAGCCCTGTCTAGAACGTGGGCATCCACGCAGCTCAGCAGAGATCAGAGAAAAGGCCATTTTCCGCTGGGAGCACTCACATATAAGGGCTGAGTCCAACTGCAAGCAGGAGGTGACGGGAGGGCCACACACGAAGACAGCCAGAAGGAAACAACCCGGGGGAAAGCGCGGCATGTCAACAGCCCGCGAAGGATATAAATTTGGGCTACACATAGCTTGTTTGGGGGATTTTTTTTCCTTTTTTTTGGTTAAAAACAGAATCACAAAATTAGCAGAGTGCAGAAAAGACAACAGATGTTAATGTATTTGGACTTTGGTACAACAGCTCATGAAATCACAAAAAAAAAAAAAAAAAATCTCCAAGAAACAGAAATAAAAATGGAGTCATATGGACTCTAACAGTCAATGGCTGGGTGCCATGGTTAACACCTGTAATCCCAGCTACCCCAGGCCGAGATCTGAGGATCATGTTTGAAGCCTGCCTGGGCAGGAAATCTGTGAAATTCTTTATCTCAAACTACTGAGATGCTGTGGCTCAAGTGGTAGAATGCTAGCCTTGAGCAAAAAAAAAAAAAAAAAAAAAAGAACCTTTAGGGACAGCACCCAGTCCCGGAGGGCAGAGTCTACACACCCAGCCGGAGGGGCATCAGTCAACACCTGTGACCCACACGGAGCAGAAGTCACAGGACAGGAGCCACCCCAAGGTGGCTTCTCTTCCCAAGGGAGAGAGAGCACCCGAGAAACAGACCCTGGTCTCAGTGAGCCACAGAGCGCCAGGGCTGTGGGAGGAAGCGAGCCCGATGGGAGGGGCCTCCGTGTAGGAAGGAGAGGGGGCAGAGGCCCCGGAATGCTCTCAGTGCGCTCCGCCAGGCGCAGCAGGTGCGGGTACTTACCCCAGCTCCACAGCTTCCCTTCCGTGGTGATGAGGAGGCTGTGGGCTGCGCAGGAACCCGAGACCACGGTCCGCACGCGGACCCCCGACAGGCACCCATACCTGTGGGGACCCCACAGGTTCTGACCGAGATTGCGGTACGCAGCTGCGGGGACAAGAACGTGAATCACCTTGTGAACAGATGCCTGGAGGACGCACGGCCACGCCATGGGCTATCGGGACACTTCCCTCGGGGAGGACACCGTCCCAGCCTGGTGGCCACGAGCGCATAGCAGTCACCGCTCTGTGCTGAGGGCCACAGGCAGGTGCCGTAGGAGCGCTGGTAGCCCCAGGGTCACCGGTCACCTTTGCACTGGCACTGCCAACCCCAGCCCGAGCCCTGGCTGAGTCAGAGCCTGCAGGGAGCATACAAGTGCAGGCCCAAGCCCAGGCCCCTGCCAGCCCTGCTCTCCGTGCTCCCCATAGCACTCCTGCCTCCACCTTGGGCCTGCCCTGCACCCAGAGGTTCCCCCCCTTCCCCACGCATCTCAGCCAACCTATCTTCAGACTCCTGGGGAAGCCTGTATTGGATTTCGGGATGTGCACTTCCCAGTGTGTCCATCCCTGCCAGAAGCAGCAACGCGGTGGCCTGCTGTCCCTTGCCCAGAACTCACAGATACCTGGCCCATGGTGAGCTCACATCTGCCAGCGGCTCTGAGTTCTCCCTCCACAGCCCCATTTCACCCTACTGCACACAGCCGTGTCCCATGCTGGGCTCTGCAGAGCACTCGTACACGGTGGCGGCTGTTGTGAGAGGGCAGCCACCGCGGCTCACGTGGGAACTGATGCAAGAGAGCCTGTGTTCTCCATCTGTCACCTGCGAGGTGCTGGTCATGCCCACTCTGCCCGGGTAGGGGGCGCCACCTGCTCTCCTTCTCAGGCTATAGGGCCCATCAGAGCTTCAGGGAAGGCTGTGCCACACCTCTCCTATAAGGTGGGAGGTACAGCAAACTAAGAAAGAGCTGGGGGCTGGGAAGGTGGCTCAGTGGTAGAGCGCTTGCCTTGTATGCCTGAGGCCCTGGGTTCAATTCCTTAGCACCATATAAGCAGAAAAAAAAAGCTGCAAGTGGCGCTGTGGCTCAAGTGGTAGAGTGCTAGCCTTGAGCTGAAGAGCTTAGGGACAGCGCCCAGGCCGAGTTCAGGCCCCACGACCGGAACCCCAACCCCCCCCCCCCAAAAAAAGCTGTGGGCCAGCTACTCAAACTAGGAGAAGCTAGGGCAATATCTGGGTCACAGAAAAAGCAGAGGCCTGCCATCAGGAATGGCACAACTGCTACAAAGCCCCACACAGGGGCAGCAGAACCTGAAGAGGAAGCTCTGCTGTCCAGGACCCAGCTGGGCAGGGCAGGAGCTGCGGCCTGCTCATGGGGACGTGGGCTGCCTTGCCAAGGTGCCTCTTCCTGTGGAGGAGCTGGCACAGGACTCAACTCATGAGCACAGCCAGGTATCCCCTGGGGATCCAAGTCAGTTAACAGCCAACTGTGATCACAGGCACACACACACGCACACTGGACACTGGTGGCTCACACCTGCAATCCTAACTACTAAGGAGGCTGAGATCTGAGGATCATGGTTTTTTTGAAGCCAGCCTGGGCAGGAAAGTCCATCTGTCAGTCTCATCTCCAAATAACCAGCAGAAAGTCAGAAATGGAGGTATGGTTCAAGTAGCAGAACTCCAGCCATGAGCAAAAAGCCAAGAGTAAGGACTTAAATTCCTGAGTTCAAGCTCCAGTATTGGCACAAAAACCAAAACCAAGCCAAACAAAACCATGTCAGGAAAGCAAAACAGGCTGTGTTGGGGAAGGGCACCAGGAGGAAGGAGAGGAGGGAGGGAGGCAAGTGGGGGAGGGTGGGTTTACCCAAGCTCTGTCTGACGACAGTGAAATCACACATGCCACCTGCACAGGAAGAAACTTCAGGAAGGGGAACTGGAGTGAGGGCCACTTCCAAGGTGAGCTCAGGCAGGGCAAAATTTGCTTGACAAAGGCCAAATCTGCCCTGCACCCACTACACAGCTGCTGGACAGTGTAAACCCTCAGCAGCCCGAGGGGAGCAGAGGGACATCTGCTGAGCAGCAGGCAACAGGGCCCATGCTGCGGCTCTGCCCTGTGTGCCTCCAACTGTGGGTGGGCACTCCACACAGACAGGCCCCAGAGGCCCCAGCACCAGGGCTGTGCCATCAGACAGGAGCAGTCCCTGAGAGCCAGCTGCCCCGCCAAGCAGGCATTTGGCTCCAGGGAAGCAGCCAGCGGTCAGGTCCTGAGCAGACTCACAACCCTCCAGTGGCTGTGTCTAGGCACAAGGGTGCGGCAGTGTGCAAATATTTGCTCCCAGTAAAGCGGTACTAGAAGGCACTTTGGGCATCTCTCCAAATGAAAACCAAAAAGCCATAAAACATGGCAACCTGCCAGCCTTCTGTTGGAGGGGCGTGGGCCTCGGGAAAGAGATCAGGTCTGCATGGGGAGGGGGGGGGGGATGCGCGGGGCGGCTGGCCCCCTTGGCCAGTGCCCTCTACCATTGGTTGGTTATTCTCTTGGCCCAGTTCCTGCACCAACATGGACTTCAGTGACGCCCCATAGTCCCGGCCTCCTTGTAGAGGAAGTGGTGACAGGAGGAGGAGAGGTGCCTGGGCCTGTCTGAGGAAACTAGCTGCCTGGGTGGTGTCATCTTAATGGAACTGCACACGGCACAAGTCACTCCAGCGGCCGCGTAGCCTCCGAATGCACCTGTGCACACTGACAGCACCTATCTGGCGTGTGCCAGGGCTGCCTTGGGCACAGACACAAGAAAACATCCATACAAGCTGTTTCAGAGCCCGGCTGCATACCTTGCTGTTTAGGCACTTCCTTCCGACCGATCAAGTCCCAGTTGGTTGCCCCAAAAATCAGCAGCTGCCCTTTGCACTTAGACCCTTCGAGTTTCTATAGGGAAAGAGGGGAGGAATTAGTCCAAGGTGTTCCCAGCTTCCCAAGGCTGTCCTAGGAAGCAATGGAAAAGAACTTTGTTTGAGACAGGGTCTCCTGTGTAGCCCCAGGCTGGCTCCCAGCTCCCAGCACGTCTCAGCCTCCTGAATGTCAGGACCAGAGCGCGGCCTCCCTACCCCAAGCCCTGGGGTCAGGTGCTTCATGTTGTCTCTGGCCATCCCTAATGTCCCTCCCAACTCCCCAGGGAAAGGCTATGGGACGCGGGCCATTTCCGACTAAGACACTAACGCTCCACCCCTCAAGCTGTCACCAGAGCTGCCGACCCCCGGCTGCCCACTTCAGTTGGTGGCATCTTGGAAGGCCACTGTCCAACTTGACTGTACTCGCTTCTCAGCACTTCACTCTCTCAAATGCCACTTGCCTGGCATGTATATGGCCCTGGGTTCTGGGTGCTATGCGGACATACATGCAGTCAAAGTGGGTTGTGGTTAAAGACCCCCATAGTCCCTCCAGGTTCACGTCCACAACCATCAAATTCCATCTCCGCCATATGGCCCGTCACACCTGGTCACAACCATGCTGCAGGAGGGAAGGCCACCCATGCACAGGGCCCATCTGGAGTGGGCAGTGCCGGCACAGCACGGATATCACCTTGGCCCACTGAATTATTCAGAGCTGCCCTTCTGCAGAGCTGAGGTCCTCCCCCCCCACCCCCGTGCCCAGCCTCAGGTTACCTGAATGGGAGCCTGCTTTCCTCTGCTATCTCCCCATTTCACTTATAAGCAGGTGTGGCTTGGCCCATGTGTCCATCAGGGTCCCCATAGAAGGGGCTAAGCCCCAGGGATGAAGAGGGCACCAGAATGATTCTCAGGCCAGGCAGCCAGACGTCCAAAGCATCATTACCATATAAGCATATCGCTATAATGCTTGTCATTAACAGAGCAATGATGGTGCTGGGAAGGTGGCTCAGGGGTGGTGCTTGTCTCGCATGCATGAGGCCCTGAGTTCAATTCCTCAGGACCACATAAGCAGAAAAAGCCAGAAGTGGCGCTGTAGCTCAAGTGGTAGAGCGCTGGCCTTAAGCTAAAGAGCTGAGGGACAGTGCCCAGGCCCAGAGTTCAAGCCCCTCCACCGACAAAAGCAATGCTAAGGCCACCACCCAGGACCGGGGGCTGAGTCTGATCAGAGCAGGAGCCAGCCAGCACCTGCAGCAGGAATGGGTTAAGACGTGAGAGGCCTTCAAGCCAGCTAAACATTTTCACACACCCCACCTTTCTTTCCCCAGTGGCTGGCTCCACAAAAGACCTGGGCTGTTCCAAGTTTCTCTAGCGTAGGCCCCGCATCCCTCACGCTAGAGGGGAGTGGCTGTGCATCCCATCACAGCTACCGATGCCAGCATCCGCCACACACCCTCACCTTCATCACTCCACAGCTTACTGCTTCCTCCACCTCATGCGGAATGGAGAACTTAATTAAAGGTCAGGAGGTGGCTCGTTGTTGGAGCATGCCAGGCCTTGGACCCGATCTGAACATGAAAGTAAATAAGCAGGAAGCCAGAGGCTGTTCAAGGCTTCATTACCAGCCTCCACGGATGGGCCAGGAGATGGTTTAGGGGGTGAACTGGTCTCTCTCTCTGACACCACCCCTGTCTGAAGGCCACAGACAGGCTTGAAAACAATCCTGACAGGATGTATGAACTGCATCTCAACCTCCTGCCTGCCAACAACTGGCTGTGAGTGTGACCTAGGCCCAGGTGAGCAGCCATGGCAGAAAAACACACTAAGCAACTTATGGACTACTACCTGTGAACAAGAGGCATGAGAGCTGACCTGTCCCAGCACACGCACTCAGGAGCCTGAAAGACCACCAAAAGCCAAGTCCCTGATGCAAATCTGCTCCAATACTGCTTGTCTGGCTATCAACTCTATTGATCTGGTTCTTTCACATCAGACAGGTTTGTCTCAGGCTCCACAAAACCTTAGCAACCCCAGACTAGGAAAAAGCCACAGACCTGGACACCCGCACTGCTCACCTGTTTCCAAGGACTCAGCCAAGACTGCACATGTGTGATCTGCTCGTCCAGGCTCTGAGGTCCCTGGCAGTCAGGGCTGAAGAGCGCTCAGAGGCCACAATGCCCACCAGACATAGCCACACTCGAAGCTAGGCTGCACAACTGAAGGCACCATCTCTCCCTGACAGCTTTGCCCCTCAGCAATCTGGCCCCTGGTTCATCTTTCCCACCCCACCACCAGCAGACTCCAGGTGAGAGAAGGCAGAGGCCACGGGTTCTCTCAAGGCCCACCCCCAGCAACTGGACTGGAGGGGCTTGTAAATGCTCCTTCTGGAAGAGCTGGTACCAAGTCCTGGGTTCAGGGACATCCTTCAGGACAAGAAGTATACTACCCACCTAAGCCTGCTAGCAGGGAATGAATGAGCTGCAAGGTCCAGCCCCCACCCAGGCCCAAACATAACAGATCCTCTTGGAAATGTGGGGTGTGTACTCTCTGCATGGGGCATGAAAGAGCATCACCTTTAAACCTGCATGGTCACCTAGACTTGCAATCCTAGGATGGTGAACCCAAGGGTATAAACCAAAGGGTCTACTCAACAGCCCCTGAGATGAGAAAGTCTGGAATAGATGACTTTGAAATTCCTGCTTCTAAGCCAGGAATAATGGTTCACTCCTGTAACTCCAACACCGGGAAAGTAGTAGGAGAATCATGAGTTTGAGGCCAGCCTGGACTACAAGAAAACCAAAATTCACTTACTAGCTTATTCTGCTTCCACACATGCACACAAACTAGGGGTTAGCTATACAGAGATGGGCTCTCTCCTAAGACCCAGCCATCTGCAGGGCTGGGGTACCCTGCCACCACCTTCTAGGGTGACTCTCAGCAGGGAAGATTTCATTTCCTGACATCAGAACTGGAGCCAAGCAGCAGACAGCTAGGCTATTCAGTGCGGTCCTGCCTTTGCAAAGGCAGGCAGAACACAGGAGGCTGGGCTGCTTTAGTTCTGTTCTAGCACACACTGGGGATGACGGAGAACAGGTCCTGGGCTCCCATGCTCAAAACTCTGCTCTGGACCACCGCCAGGTCAGACCTGGCAAGGCATTCTGACAAGGGCTCTCCACATCTGGCTCAAACCCTCTATCTGTGGGGAAGGCAGCTGTGAAGCATTTTCCCCTCATAGTTTGCAATGCCCTTAAGGATCTACCATGCTTCTCAACCATCTACGCAAGGCCCTCACTTGGGACCCAGTCCAGGCTCCTAACCCCTGGGGCACTGCCTGAGCAGCAGGGAGACCCTAAGGCCTGGCATCCGGTAACTGCTTCTGGAGCATGCATACCGGGAGAGCACCACTCCCCCACCCCCGGTCTGGCTCTAAAGCCCATGAGGAAGTTCCATCTATCGTTTCCCTAGAATTATCACAGAATGTGCTAGAGGTCTGTCTTCCACCCCCCCCCCACCCCAAAAAGATGTCCCACGCCAAATCTGCAAAAAGTTCTGCTGGGGATGGTCTCCGACCCTGCGGGCAGGCTCCTCAGGTTCTTAAGTCGAGTGGGCCTCGACCATCGAGGCCACTGGAGCAACCCAAGCCCATCCGCGTTGTGAGGGGTGCCCCCCAGCCCTGCCCCGGCGGGCACCCCGCGCGCCGCGCCGCCACCGACGCCAGACAAAGCCCAGCACCCCTCCGCAGGGGCTGCCCTGACCGGGGAGGGGGGGCGCGTGCGAGCATGCGCCTTCGCACCCCGCCGGCGGCCCCCGCCTACCCGGCGCGCGGACGGCGCACGGCGCCTGCGCGGGGGCCGGCAAGCCCCGCCCCCCCGGGGCGCCGGAGCCGCGGCGGCGGGAACCTCAAAGCCCCGGCGCGAGCCGCCGCTCCCCGCCGGGCGCCAGCCACCCCCTCCCCGGCGCTCCCGGGCCCCGCGGCGGGCGCAGAGAGCCGCGGGCCAGCCCGTGCGCGGGACTCCCCGTCGCCGCCGGGCCCTGGCGAGCCTCCCCGGCCCGAGCGAAGTTCCCCCAAGTCCCCGCTCCCGGGCGGGGGAGGGGCGAGGGAGCGGCGCCGGGGGCGGGGCGTGACCCCCGCGAGGCGGCGGCGGCGGCGGCGGCGGCGGGCGGCCGCCCCTCCCCCGCGGGCCCGGGCCGCGCGCCCCAACGGCCGACGGCCCGCGCGCCCCGGGGTCCGCCGCCCGCGCCCGCCGCCTCCTTGTCTCCCTTCTCCCCGGCTCCGCGCGCGCGGAGGCGGCGGTGATTCAGCCGCGGCCTGCGCCCGCCCGCCCGCCCGGGCCCACTCACGACGCGCTCCTTGGTGTGCTCCGGCTCCGTGATGATCACCGCCGCGCCGCCCGCCTTGCCCGCCGCCGCCGGCCGGGCCGCGCGCTTGCCGCCGCCGGGGGCCCCGTCGAGCTCCAGGCCGTCCTCGTCGCCGCTGCTGCCGCCGCCGCTGCTACTGCTGCAGCGCTCGGGCCGCTCGCGCTTCCTGCCCGCCGGGCCGCCGCGCTTCCTGGGCCCCGCGCGGGCCGTGCCGTTGCCGGAGCTCGGCTCCTCCCAGGCCGCCGCCGCCGCCGCCTTCTTCCTGGGCATGGTCGCGGCTGGAGGAGACACGGGGCAGCGCGCACAATGGACGGGTTATAAACTGCGCGGGGGGGAGGGGAGGAGACGCGCCACCGGCCTCCACTTCCTCCCCTGCCCGCCCCGCAGCGCCGGCCGCGGGTGGGCGGAGGGGGCGAGCCCGGGAGGAAATCACGCCCCTCCCGGGCCCAGCCCGCGCCTCCGGGGAAACCCCGGGCGCCCGGCACGGTGGGGAGCGGCGAGGCCGGCGACCCCGGCCCATCCCCAACTTAGCTCTGGCGCACAAAGCACCGCGGCGGCAGCCTGGCCCCGGAAAAGTGCAGAGGAGGGAGGAGGAGTCGGGATCTGAATCCCGGAGGGCTCCGGGACACTTTCAAAGATGCCTACGGCACGGGGCGGCCGAGGGGCGCCCCCGCCCCGCGCACCTCCACCTGCTGCTTTTGTCTCCGCGCCCCCGCCCCGAGCCGCTCCGTGCAGGGCAAGGCGCCCCCACCCCGAGACCCCAAGTCCGCCCCCGGCCCGGCTGTCCCGATCTCCAGGCTCCAATCGGATGAGCCCCTCCCGGGCGGGGGGGTGTCCCCGAATAAAGTCGCCCCCGGCCCCCAAGCACCTGCTCGTCCAGGCACGGAAAATGGAACTTTAACGGGGGCCCCGGCCGCGCGGCCCCGCGCGCCCGGCCCGGCCCGGCCCCGCGCACCCGCCCGCCCGCCCGGCCCCGCGCGCCCGCCGCGGCCGCTTTGCCTCTTTTTTTTTTTTTTTTTTTATTGATTTTGAACAATGGGATCTCTGTCTGTCTCCGATTAAACCACGTGGATCCGCCTCCCTCCCCTCCTGATTCATTCAGCCCCCCGCCCCCCTCCCTAGATTTTTCTTTTCTTTTCTTCCCTCCCTTACCTTCTCTCTCTAAAAAGAAAGAAAGAGAGAGAGAAAAACTTTCCCAGACCCCGCAAACTGCTCGCCGCGCCGTGCGGGTCCCCTACCTGGTGGGGGTGGAGCGAAGCGGGAGCGGAGGGAGGCGAGGAGGAACTACAGGACGGGCCGCAGGGCTCCTTTCTCTTTCCGGCCCAGACGAGGGCTCCAGCCCACTCACCAGAAACACTTAAAATGTAAATACGAGCTCCCAGAACAAATGCTACAACACAAAACAGAAACACATGTGCTGCCGGGCGGCAAGCGAGCGCGCGGCGGGGCGGGCGGCGCGGAGCCCGGGGCGCGCGCGCCCCCTGCCGGCCGGCGGACCCGCGCCCCCGCCCGCCCACCGCCAGCGCGCGTCCCGGGCGCCAGGCGCCACGCCGCCGCGCGCCCCGGGCCCCCCGCGCCTCGGCGCCTTCCGCCAGAGGCGCGCGAGCGTGCCCAGGGCCTGCCGCGCCGCGACCTGCGCGTCCGTCCGAGACGTCTCCGGGGCTCGGGAGAGCGCCGGCGTTGTTTTTTTTTCCTGGGCACGTCTAGACAGGTCACCCGAGGACACCCGCTGGAAAACAGTTCCTTCGCTCACGCAGCAGCCAGCGAGGGACGTGCCCTAATTGAGCGATCGGAAGCGAAGATGGATGCGGTGCCGAAGCCTGCGCCCGGGCAGGGAGGCTGCTGTCGCCTGCGCGTGTGCATGCGTTCCCCCTCCCGCGGCCCGGGGCCTGCCACGAGCGCGGGGTCGCCAAGGTCGGGGCGACGGAGCCAACTAGTTAGCAGTGATGGGGAGGGCCATCGAAGTGAGCATCGCCCAGGGCCTGGACAGAGTTCCCGAGCCCGTGCTACGTGCCAGCCGAGAGAACAGCTTCCCCCCCCCCCCCCACCCAAGTGGAAAGCGAAGTCACGAGAGAGCCAGATTCAACAAATAGTTGCATGGATGGTTAGTGTTACAAAGTAATACTACGAAGGAACGTTCTAGGGCGGGCATGTGCCCTATTCCAGATGGGGAAGGCCTTGAGGGAAAGGTCAGCTCAGCCAGGCAAGGGTCAAGACCACCCCGACCGTGACTCCCGGCCAGGAGGCCAAAGTAATCCAGTTCCTGGGTTCTGGGAAGAAATAGTTTCTGTGGGGCTGAGGTGAGATTAAAGGGCTAGGCTATATCTGCTGGGGAGCGCTGAGGATCCCCGTTTGAAGCCAGGCAGGAACGTCCGTGAGACGCTGATCTCCAATTAACCAACAAAAAGCTGGCAGGGGAACTGTGGCTCAAGTGGTAGACTGCTATCCTTCTGGGGGGGAAAAAAAAGCTAAGGGACAACACCCAGGTCCTGAGTTCAAGCCTTGGTACTGTCACAAGAAGGCAAGAGTCCAAGAGGTCCAAAACTAAAGTACTTGATCAACGTCAAAAGACTGTGTGTATCAGGAGCCAAGAGCACTTATGTAAAAGAACCTTGAAAATGAATAATCAACAGGTACATTTCAGAGATTTTCCAAAAGGTCAAGACAGAATAGAAGCACCTTTTGAAAACCATTTCTTCACAGGCCTTGCATTAAAAAAAAAAAAAAAAAAAAAGATTAAAGCAATTAATCCTGGGTGCTTTGAAATAAAACAGGGGAACCAACCAGGAGAGAATTCCTGGTGGATGTATCCTCCAAGCGTGCTTCAGGAAAGAACATGTTTGTGCTAGCCGGCCTGCAGGAGGCTGCCTGGAAGCTCAGCCTCCCTCCACCAATTACAAGCTCCTTACGACTTGCTGCCAGCCAGTCTGGTTCTTTCTTGGGCCCATTCTGTGCTCTTTGCCAGGCTGAAGACCGGTGTGTCAGAAACACTGACACAATAAAACGCTAATACCACATTGCATCATCTGACCCCCAGGTGTGGCGCTCCCAAAACTGGTTTTTCTCGAGGATGTTGCTGGAGAAGAAAGGTGCTTTAGGGGTACACCCATCCACTAGCCCTACTTGCCAGGTGATAGATGGGATTTCTGCCCCTACATGTCTCAGTTTTCAGCACGACTGTCCCTAGGAAGCCCAAGTGACAATCCCAGCTGAATGAGATGGGCTGCAGGCATCATCAGCAAGGTCTTTATGGGACCAAAGCCACAGAGCACCAATCACCCATCAGACTAGGTGGGGGTGGCCCTCCCCTAAAATGTGCTTGCAGGGTGGGAACGGAAGGGAAAAAATGGAGAGAGCAAAGGAAAGGGTGACATTACCCCAAAAAGGAAAGGGTGACATTGCCCCAAAAGAAATGCGCTCTTTACCTGGCTTATGTAACAGTAACCCCTCTTTTTTTTAGTGTGCTTGGAATTTCCCTGCTCTGGGGATAGGATGAATTGGTGCAAAACCTGGAGAGGAGATGAGATTCCTCAGGCACTTCTGGTCTGGTGTTGGGCCACATCCATCGCATGTGTCCACACGTGGGTTCCCCGCGCCAGCTGGCCCTTGCTATTTGGCCTCCTTTGGACTGCAGTGAAGGCTTATGTCAAATGAGGCTTGGCCTCAGCTGCATTCCGAGTGCCTCTCAGAAGTGTGGTCTCATTCAAGCCTCACCTCCAACTGGGAGGTTCATGGGCTCCTCCCTTGCTATGGCCACCAATTGTGGAAGTGATGATAGTCACAAATGGAAATCCACCAACCGTGGAAGTGATGGTAGTCACAAATGAATATCGAGTTATAATGCTCTATTAAAGGTGCAGCTGGATACAGTTTCCATCTCTGGGGCCTACCTTGTAGCGACTGGGCATTTGAAATGCATCCAGTGTGCAGTTAGGTGTGAAACACACATTGGAGATCTCTCCCTCCCTCCCTAGCTTTCTCCTTTTTCTTCCTCCTTCCTTCCTTTTTTTCCTCCTTTCCTTTCTTCCTTCCTTTGTTTTGTTTTTGAAGCAAGTGCCAGGATTACAGGCATACTATCACACTTGGCTCACACTGGCTTTCAAAGACAGGCACTGGTGGCTCACACCTGTAATCCTAGCTACTCCGGAGGCATCTGAGATTTGAGCCCTTGAAGGAAGTCCGGGAGTCTCTCATCTCCAATTAACTTTCTAAAAGCCAGACACGGAGCTGTTATTCAAATGGCAGAGTGCTAGCCTTGGGCAAAAAAGCTCAAGGGCAGTCCTCAGGCCCTGAGTTTAAGCTTCATTAGTGACATACTCACACAATTAATTATGGTCTAGGCCAGCCCAGACAAAAATAAGAGACCTATCCCCCAAATAACTAAAAACAAAAAGGACTGGGGTGGTAGTTCTACGGTAGGGTCCCCACCCAACAAACTTGAAACCCTGAATTTAAACCACAATACCACCCAAAAGAAATAACCAGTGGTGTACATCTGTCATCCTGGCACTCAAGAGGCTGAAGCAGGTGGACTGGGACTTTGAGTCCAGTCTGAAACCCTATCTCAAATAAATACATAAATAAAGCAAGCTGGGGTGTAGCTCTGTGCTGGAGTGCTTGCCTAGCATGCCCTGGGTTCCATCTCAAGCCCTGCTGCCCGCCCCCCCTCCCCAATATAGATGATTGATAAATAGATACTGAAAAATAACTATTAGTTGATTCCATGTTGAAATGGTAATGTTTTGTATTGTCTTGGATTTAAATAGTACTAAATTCATTTCACCTATTTCTGTTTGCTGTTTTTGGTTTTGTTAATTTTTTTTTTTTTTTTGCAGGTCATGGGGCCTGAACTCAGTCTGGGCGCTGCCCCTGAGCTCTTCAGCTCAAGGCTAGCACTCTACTACTTGAGCCACTGTGCCACTTCTGGCTTTTTCTGCTTATGTGGTGCTGAGGAATGGAACCCAGGGCCTCATGTATGCAAGGCAAGCGCTCTACCGCTGAGCCACCTTCCCAGCACAAGCTGTTTTTTTCTTAATGTGACTATTGTCTAAAAATTTTTAAATTACATCTTTCTAGTGTTGTGGCTGGTGTTTTTTTGCACTGGACAACAAAATGGCAAAAACAGCCCCAGATCCTAGAGCCACAATGCTCTGCTTCCGAGGTCTGTCTTCCCCTGTCTGTAACATGCAGGGTAGAGTTTGGTCTAAATTCCTCCTGGAGCTCCTTCTGCACTTACTGATTCCTGGCTCTCTGATTGGTAGGCACTGAGGATTCCTGTCTGAATATTTGGAGAGATATTTTCTGGGAGATGAAAATTCCATTGTACTATTTTTGCCAGGGAACCACAAAACCTTAGGATCCAATTATCGTCCGACCTTTAAGCCCCAGCCTGGGAGCCCCTGTGGGCTCAGTGTGTAGTGTCTGTCTTTGATTGTACAGTTAGCGCCCATGGCAGCTGGTAAGCAACATCTGATGTTGCCTTAAATCATATTCAGAGGAAAGCCAGCACTGGTGGCTCATGTCTATAATCCTAGCTACTCAGGAGGCTGAGCTTTGAGGATCATGGTTGGAAGCCAGCCAGGCTAGGAAAGTCCATGAGACTCTTATCCACCAAAAAGCCAAAAAGAGAGCCTCAAGAAAAAGAGCATGAGGCCCTAAGTTTGAGCCCCAGTACCAACACACACACACACACACACACACACACACAAATATCCAGACGGGCTGGGAAGGTGGCTCAGCGGTAGAGTGCTCGTCTCGCATGCATGAAGGCCTGGGTTCAATCCCTCAGTACCACATATATAGAAAAAGCTGGAAGTGGTGCTGTGGCTCAAGTGATAGAGCACTTGCCTTGAGTTGAAGAGCTGAGGGACAGCGCCCAGGCCCAGAGTTGAAGCCCCGCGACTGACACACACACACACACACACACACACACTCACACACTCACACACACACACACACACACACACACACACACTCCAGAAGGCCGAGTGCCAGTGTCTCACTCCAGTAATCATAGTATTATGATTACTGAGATCTGAGGATCTTGGTTCGGAGCCAGCCTGGGCAGAAAAGTCCTCGTGAGATGCTTATCTCCAATTAACCACTCAAAAACTAGAAGTGGCACTGTGGCTCAAGTGGTAGAGAGCCAGCCTTGAGCACAAAGAGGTTCAGGGAGAGCTCAGACCCTGAGTTCAAGCCCTATAACCTGCAAAAAATAAATAAAATAAATGAAAACATAAAAATAAATAAAATAAAATAAATGAAAACATAAATCCGGAAGAGGTTTCAGAGCTCAGAGATGCTGTGAAGCTTCTTAGGGGCTGGTAGCACAGCCAGGAAGGATGCACGCCTCTCAAACCCAATCAGGAAACCTTGCTGTGGCCCCAGAACCTGGTTTTTCTTTTTTCTTATTTTAATTTAAATTTC